GGAAAGACATCAACAATACAGCGTGGAAATAAAATGTCACGTAGACCTCAGCAAGTCATCAGTGTCCAGAACTCGTTAGTTCACTAGAGAAATGAAGTCTGGAGAGGAGCATTTTGTACGAAATATTACACCATATACTCATTATATTTGACTAAACCTGTTAGTCTTAATTACTTAATGTACAGTATGTTTAAATTAATCTGTTATGAAACATGCTATGACAGCCATTGTGTAATTGAATATATTTTAACAAATAGCTTAGAAATTGTATTATTTATAAGTTAATTTAAGAACTGCATTATGTGCAATTTACATGTTTGCATACAATTTATTTTATTTTATTTATTGATTTATTTTTTTAAGTTGAGTGTTGATCATCTATTTAAAAATAAATAGCAATTAAATTTAAGTTTGGGTTAAGTTGTTAGGCCTAATTGTAACCTTATAATGTAAAAGAGCTCCCTATAGTTTTAAGCATAAGCTGAGGTAGATTTTTATCACTAAGAAAATTTTAACTATAACTGAATGTATTTAAAGAAAGAGCAACTTGTTCAGTAAACCATTTAAAAAAAAAAGAAAAAAAGTTTAGTTTCCCCCCCTGCTGTACCGAAATCATTCCGAACCGTGACGTTAAAACCGAGGTACGTACCGAACTGTCATATTTGTGTACCATTACACGCCTAGTGTTCACATTATTTTGTCCAACCCCTGTATGTTAACGATGCTTTTCAGTATTGAAGCAAATAAATGTATGTTTAAAATTAACACATCAGCTCTGTCTGCCATCTTGGATGCAGTTTTTCCACTGAGCTTGTGCATTCACCACAAAACCTTCATGCAAGGCTGTTTGGAAACAAAACAAGATCTCAGAAGGCAACATATTTCACTTCCTATCTTATCCTAAGTTAATGTCTGACCCTTCATTTCTTTTAACTGAAATCTATTTCTCTTTCTGATGTGTTTGTGGAGCACAGAAGTGCAGCGGTTTGTAAAAGCTGTGTAAACTCCGTAAAACACATCAGTCCCATTATCAAGAGACAACAGTGGACTGATGCTGCGCCGTCCCCCTCGTACCATTCCGGGAAATTGAAGCGATAAATTCTTTCCTCCTCAGACTTTCTTTTTCCCTCTTTCTTCATCTCTGTTTCAGTCCCTGTGATCTCTCTGTTATTTGTAGAACAAATACGATTGTTGTATGTGGCTGAGAGCTTGTAGAGCTGTTGGCAGTACAGAAGCCCAGATCCCCTCCAGTCTGGTGCTGGAGTCCATCAGGATCAACTGAGATTTCAGCAGATGTAAGTCACAAGAGCTTAGTGAAGAGATCAGACCAGTTTTGGGTCAGGTTTTTAAAATTATTTATTTAAACTCGAATACCAGTAGAAATAATACTGTTTTATGCTTATGTCTTTTTAATATAATTGTGATTTTGGAGTGAAATATGGCCCAGAAATGTTCTCGACAGGTTACGTGAGATTCACCCTGTGAGAAATATCTCCTATTTTTGGGATTATCCTGGATTGTGCTGCTTGTGGGACATAAAATTTAAACCACCCTTGGATGATTGAATGTAGGTCTGAGTCATATTATATTAGCATCTCCTCTTCTCTAAAGGGTTCGTATATTTTAATCTCTGGTTGTATAAAGGAATAATTAGGGAGATATAAGTCAAAATACTTTTTGATGACCCAGACTGCACTGTGGGAAGTCATTTTCTTATTCTGTATTTTTCTTAAAAATATAAATATCTTTAAAATGTTCCATTTACTTGAGAAGCAAAACAGTAATATTAATTTTGTTGGATTTTTTTGTAAACCCGTTCAGAATTGTTTTCTATGAAAACAAAACTTTATATTGTACCCAGTTTGGCTTCTAAATCTTGTTTTAAGGATGTTCAGATTTTTTTTTTTTTACTGGACGACAAGCCAAAAATATTGATTAATATGACTTTAGTAATGATTCTAGCCATTTCATGATACTTTTTTTAACTGAAGATATTTATAATCACTTCTGATGCTCTTTTATAAAATATTCAACTTTTTGGATCAGTTTTAATTGGGCTCGTAGACATTGAATGAGTTGTTTTTTGGCATTATATGTGGGGTGTTTTACAAGTCTATTCAGAGCTCAAATATTGCCAATGACAATTAATTTGTAGGTAGATGAAAAGCACATTGGCAGGTTTTCTGCTTTCTAATTTCAGTCATTTATTTTTAACTAATGAGTTTATGATGCTTAGCAGCAGTCTGGTCTTGTTCAGGTACAGTATGACAGTTCTAGACTGCAGAGATAATGAACACAGATGGAATTGATGCCGTTCAGACAGACTGCGGGTATGTAGGTTTGAATCTGGCCTGAGTCATGTCCTCATGTCATTTCCGTGTTTCTCCCTACTTAATGACATACAACAGATTGAGATATAGTATTCAAATCCAATGTGTTTTTGTGCCAGTGTTTGAAACACTTTGCAGCCGTCAGTATAGTAGATTACGTTTTGTTTCTTTGCAGAGGCCATACAATGAAAAACTCAAAAGTTAACAAGATGATTTATTCATTGACAGTCACCCTGATGAGTAGATTGCACCGAGTCTAATGCATTTACTTATTTTCTTTAACAGTATATAAAGATACACAAAAAAGCTATTGAGTAATTTTGTTTTTACTGTTTTATTAGATGAACAGTATAGGCATAAGGGTAAAGTTTTCTTTTTAATGTGTGATTCTGACTGAGAAATTCATTTCTGGCTTAATGATTATGTGTTCAGTCATGTAGAGAGGAAAATGCAACATCTACGGTCATGTTCTTGAAATATCTCTATTTTGTGAAAGAAAATAAACTTAAGATGTAGCTGTGTTTATATAGCAAAGCATATCCACTTATTGAGAGCAGCAGCAGCTTGCTTGGTTTATTTTAAAGGGGTCATATGATGCGATTTCAAGTTTTCCTTTCTCTTTGGAGTGTTACAAGCTCTTGGTGCATAAAGAAGATCTGTAAAGTTGCAAAGACTAAAGTCTCAAATCCAAAGAGATATTCTTTATAAAAGTTAAGAGTCAGCCACACCTACCTAAAACGGCTCGTTCTAACACGCCCCCACATATCTACGTCACAATCTGGGAAGATTTACATAACGCTGCCCAAATTATTATTCTCGCTGTAGTATTGTTGTTACCGCCGCCATGTCATGAAGGCGCTGTGTGCTTCGTTGTGAAAGCGAAACTACTTTGTTTGGCCTTCCAAAAGAGGACGATATCCGCTTCATCATGCCTGGAGCTGATCCGTGCTGGTCGCTGAGGAAATACTTCAACTTTGCGCTGTCGATCGCTGGATCGGCTTTCACTGTGGATGAAGCGGAGTCCAGCCCGGGGTCGTCACATGTGGTTGCCACAGGCATCACAATATGGTAAGGGACGTAACATTTCCGTCCCACGCTTGAGAAATTCGGCCAGTCACAACGCACTGGATAGCTGGCCAATCAGAGCACACCTCGCTTTTTCAGACCGATGAGCTTTGTAAAAATCGACGCGTTTCAGAAAGGCGAGGCATAGAGGAGAAACAATAATGTACAGTATGTGGAAAATAATGTATTTTTTTTTACCTTAAACCGCATGAAAAAAATGTTTTTTTTAATCAACATCATATGACCCCTTTAATAACAATATGCTTCATATTGTTATTTTTAGTTCCATACATTATTTTATTGCACAAAGTAACTTAAGTTAACAAAGAAAAATTACAATGTTTATTTAAAGCTAGCCTGTTTAATCACTTGTTCGCCAGGTGTATGTATTCTTAAATATATTAGCTTAAAAATTAAAGGTTTTCAGATAGGAGTTTAGTACTCTCAGTTTAACACATCTGACCGTATTTAAATCCATTCTACAGCATTCTGCACAATTTTCCCACAATCAGCATAAAAATTAGGAAAAAAGACAGCAGATTTATAGGTGTAGGAAAAAGTGTATTACATAGTTGTATTTTTTATTTTTCATTTTTACTTACTGCAGTGGAAATCTGTCAAAAACATGTCTATGTCCAAAATCATATTTAACAAAATAATAAAAAAATGACATAGTTCTAGTGATTTTTTTTGCATTGAAGCATTATTTTTATAAAACAATTATGCATATTTTCAACCCAAACTTTCATTGTAAATTATCTGTAAAAACTAACTAAATGAATGAATGAATTAATTAATAAATAAAAAGTTATTACTATTACTAATTTTAAAATGTTAATGTTAATGCTGATTTTTATATATTTTTTGGTTTAGGGGTGTGGTTTGACAATAACATGTTTTTGTGATCTGTGGTAATGAGTTATACAGTTACAGGAACTATCTAAGGTTTGAGGATAAATGATCAGCAGTTGCTGAGGCCAGATCAGCTGACAGCACACTTTGGCTTTAAAAGAGGGAATCGTTGAAGGAGATACTGTAAAAGTTCTGCCACGGGACTTGAGTTATGTGTCATGCTAAGAATAGCTGTTAGTTCTTTACCCAGAAGCAGTGAAGAAGTGATTTCTCATGAAATGTTATTATTGATCAATGGTAGTATTGACCCTCTTGTCGAAACACTTTTAGCTCCACATGTGTTCACACGTTGAAGCAAGACCGCCTGCACTTCCCTTGTTCTGTTCTATTCTGTAAATGCAAGACTCACTCATCTAGACATAAACAGGACCCACCAGCTTTAAATGATGCACACTTTTGTTTACTCATTCCCAGCACCCCCTGCTCTAAAGCTGTCTGTGAATGAGACGTACGTGGTGGACCCAGGCCAAGAGGTCACACTGTCGTGTGAGGTAACGGCAGGCTTCCCCACACCTACGGTCAGCTGGTCGCGGTACCCTGGATCCCTCCCTCAGCGGTCCATGATCCGAGGCGGGTCCCTCACTCTCCGGTCCGTCACTCCCGCTGATGCCGGCATCTACAACTGCACAGCCGTCAACAATGTGGGAAACCCTGCGAGAAGAACCGTCAACTTCATTGTGAGAAGTAAGTGTACACGCTTTTACACATGTACTGACATTTGAATTTGAATGTAAGGAAGTAGAATTCAAATGCATTGGAAATTCATCCCACTTTAAAGGGCACCTATTATGCAAAATTTACTTTCACATGTTGCTTGGACATAAATGTGTGTTGGCAGTGTGTGTACACAACCACCCTATAATGATAAAAATCCACCCGCTCCTTTTTTTTTAAATCTCCATACATCAATAGCAGCGTCTCAGAGCAAGCCGATCACAGAATCCGTAAAGTGTGACATCACAATTTACCAGCCCCACCCACGAGTGTTGATTGACACTGCTGTAATCTAGTCGAGACACCTCCCTGAGTGAGCCGCACACAATCCGCCCTGTTTATCTTCACGCTAGAGCATTTAAAAGCAGCATTCAAGTAAGAAATGTCTTTTTATTAAGGCTATAGACGTAATTTAGTCCAGAGCAGTAATTGATTCTCTGATTTGATTTTATTCTTTCTTCATATTAATAGCATAGACAACAGTATAGGTACTGTATATTATGCTGATGTCACTTAATACACAGATCTAATATAATAATGCGATTTCTTTCCCAGATGTTTACCTTCACAAACATAACCGACTGTGTTTTTGTAACTTATGCATGTTTTTAACATAAACTCGTGTGTGAAAGAGAACTTAGTACTCACATGCCGTGTGCAGCCACTTTCTATATGTATGCTATGGATGTTTGTGCTCAGAAAACCGTCTATCAGAAGCTTAAACTAATATGGCTTTAAAACGCATGATTTCAGCATGATAGACATGATAATTAAACCCAAACATATGTCTTTTTAGCAGTTATGAGCTGTAAAGGCACTTCTCTATTCTGGAAAAGAGGGCGAGGAGCAGCAGCTCATTTGCATTTAAAGAGACATGCTCTAATACAGTGTGTTTTTGCTTCCACTCAAAATAGGCATTTTCAAAATTATATAATAAATGATCTGTGGGGTATTTTGAGCTGAAACTTCACAGACATATTCTGGGGACACCTGAGACTTATATTACATATTGTAAAAAGGGGCATAATAGGTGCACTTTAACTAGAATAGCAAAGTTTGTCAGGACAAGCTGTGAAGGATGGATGGATGGACAGATGATAGATAGATAGATGGATAGACATAAAGGTGGGTGGATGGACAGACAGCGATAGATAGATGGATAGACAGAGATAGATAGAAAGACAGACAGATGGACTGATAGATGGATAGACATACAAATAGACATGAAGGTTTATGGATGGATGGACAGACAGACAGCGAGAGATAGATGGATAGACAGACAGACAGACGGATTAATAGATGGATAGACATACGAATAGACATGAAGACGGACGGATGGATGGATAGATAGATAGATAGACATGAAGGTGGATGGATGGATAGACAAGATGGATGGATGGACGGATGGATGGATGGATGGATGGATGAATAGATAGATAGATAGATAGACAGACAGACAGACAGACGGAATGATGGATAGACAGATAGATAGAAAGACAGACAGACAGATTAATAGATGGATAGACATACGAATAGACATGAAGGCAGATGTATGAACAGATGGATGGATGGATGGATGGATGGATGGATGGATGGACGGATGGATGGATGGATGGATGGATAGATAGATAGATAGACATGAAGGTGGATGGATGGATGGATGGATGGATGAATAGATAGATAGATAGATAGACAGACAGACAGACAGACAGACGGAATGATGGATAGACAGATAGAAAGACAGACAGACAGATTAATAGATGGATAGACATACGAATAGACATGAAGGCAGATGTATGAACAGATGGATGGATGGATGGATGGATGGATGGATGGACGGATGGATGGATGGATGGATGGATAGATAGATAGATAGACATGAAGGTGGATGGATGGATAGACAAGATAGATGGATGGACGGACGGACGGAGAGATAGATAGATAGATAGATAGATAGATAGATAGATAGATAGATAGATAGATAGATAGATAGATAGATAGATAGATAGATAGATAGATAGATAGATAGATATGAAGGGGGATGGATGGATCAGCTTGAAATGGGGGTAATTGGAGTCAGACAGTCCAGTCAGTTCAGCAGAATTCCAAAGGGTTCACTAACTTTTCTTCACAGCTAAAGTAAATAAAGTGTAGCAATCCTTTAGAGCAGTGTTTCCCATCCGGGGTGCCGTGTGAAAAAAACATTTTTTAATATACATGAAGGTGGATGGATGGATAGACAAGATAGATGGATGGACGGACGAACGGAGAGATAGATAGATAGATAGATAGATAGATAGATAGATATGAAGGTGGATGGATGGATAGACAAGATGGATGGACAGATAGATAGATAGATAGATAGATAGATAGATAGATAGATAGATAGATAGATAGATAGATAGATAGATAGATAGATAGATAGATAGATATGAAGGTGGATGGATGGATAGAAAAGATAGATAGATAGATAGATAGATAGATAGATAGATAGATAGATAGACGGATGGAGGGAGGGACATACAGAGTAATAGATACAGTAGATAGATGGATAGACAGAGATAGATAGAAAGACAGATGGATGGATTGATAGATGGATAGACATACAAATAGACATAAAGGTTTATGGATGGATGGATAGACAGACAGATGGATAGATAAATGGATAGACATAAAGGTGGGTGGCTGGATGGATGGACAGACAGACAGCGATAGATAGATAGATGGATAGATAGATAGACGGATTAAAAGATGGATAGACATGCGAATAGACATGAAGGCGTATGGATGGACAAATGGATAGATAGATAGATAGATAGATAGATAGATAGATAGATAGATAGATAGATAGATAGATAGATAGATAGATAGATAGATAGATAGATAGATAGATAGATAGATAGACATGAAGTGGATGGATGGATAGACAGACAGATGGATAGATAAATGGATAGACATAAAGGTGGGTGGCTGGATGGATGGACAGACAGACAGACAGACAGCGATAGATAGATAGATGGATAGATAGATAGACGGATTAAAAGATGGATAGACATGCGAATAGACATGAAGGCGTATGGATGGACAAATGGATAGATAGATAGATAGATAGATAGATAGATAGATAGATAGATAGATAGATAGATAGATAGATAGACATGAAGGTGGATGAATGGATAGACAAGATGGATGGATGAACAGACGGAAAGATAGATGGTTAGACATACGGATAGACATAAAGGTGGATAAATGGATGGTTAGAACTTTTATGGACCAACATGTAAGAAAACTCTATTTCCAGAATGCACTAGCTCAGTTGCATTTTATTGAATTACAACTCTTCTTTCTGTTCTTCTATTTCTAATTACAATTTCACTTCCTGTAGGGTGTGGCCAATTCAATTTACACTCGTGATTTAAAAAGGAACCAATTCAGTTCTGAATTTTACGCAACTCTGGTTTGAAACCAGTCTTCATTTATGCAGTTCTGTTGGGTGGCACAGAAATCACTTCACCTTTAATGGCTGAAATATTAGTTACATCTCAAGCCATCAGATTCAATTTAAGATTACATATCCCTCCAACCACTTGATTGACATGCATTTGAATGAGTTATGACTTCCTGTCTGTCCCGCGCTTAGCACAAAAATTGCAGAGCCAGATTTCTTCATATGTATGCGTGAGAGTGTGTGTTTATGTGGCGGGAGCGTGAGTTAGCGGTTGAACTGTAATTAGCTCTCTTGGCAGTGTGTGATCGTGTTAAACTCCTCAAGCCGAGCGGGTGATTCAGGAACGGCTGCCATAACGCTCTGCCGTTTATCAGGGCCTGGAGCTATTCTTAGCCTCTTTAATCATTTTTATTTACTTCAATTAATTTGAGAGGAATGGAAGTAATTAGCAGTAGAAGCGTCTTATTTCGGAATGTGCGCTGGATCCGTCTCTGTTGATGGTAATGAGCTCGCTTTGTGTCAAACGCACACGCAGGTGCCACGGATGCCTGAGCGCAGCCAATCATCCAGGTAAGGCAGCCGTCTGTTGAAATGCGGGGCGCTGAACATATGGCGCTAAACTTTCTGTCTCCACCTGCAGGGTCGTTTTTCATACTGTCAGAGCATAAACACACGGCTAAGCTGTTATAGTTATGAATTGTGCATCAGTACTAACACATTAAAGCAGTAGGGCTGTGGGGGGGTTATGGATGCTCTAAGCGTCTTCAGCTGTGTTCATGATACTGCCTTTAATTTCATTATTTTCATCCTAAAAAGCCGTTTCAACTGAGTCATTACTTTTATCGTGTAAATTGTGCTTTTTTCCACATGATTAAAGCCATTGTTTGCAGTAAAGCGTGAGATGGTTTCATGTACAGTACAGTGAGGAAGCAGTGCACTGGAAAGCAGGACTCTATTAATGTTCCTCAAAAATGGGCTTTGTTCTAAACCTAAATTTTAAACATTTTCAAATTATTTATTTTGAATATTTTGTTGATTTTTAAAATATTTTTTCAATTATTGTTTATCATTTCCTGCCTTTTTAAAATTATTATTATTATTATTGTTATTATTATTATTATTATTATTATTATACTACAGCTGCGGCTTGCATTTAAACTGCATCCACAGGTTTTTGCATATTTTATCACACATTTCATAATGCATTTAGCTACTAAAAGGGGCATAGTATCCTGTTGGCAAGACCAATAAAAATGTGATTAATTCTGCAGACTTTCATCAATTTTTTCCCCTAGAAAATGTGAAAAACAGTGTTATTTAAATACTATTATATATGTATTTATTAATATTTTAAATTAGGTTTTATTTTTCGTATATTTATTTATTTTAGTTTAAGTTTTAGTAATTTTTCTTATGTGCTTTTGTCATTTTTATTCGTTTTTTAAAATACATATTTTTTTTACTATATAGCTTTAATGCATTTTAATTTCCATTTTAGTTTTAGCAATTTTAGTACTTAAACTTATTTAAGAAAAAGCTACATTTAAAACTTTTTTTTTACATTTAAAATTTTAAAAATTGTTTTGGTCTAATATTTACATTTTATTTAATTTCAGGCATATTTCAGTTATTGATTTTGAACAGTTTTAGTTATCAATACAAATACAAGTGAATAAATGTGAATAAAGAATTGATAGTTCTAGGATTGGGTTTAGTCATAACCTAAATGCTTCTTCCACCGTGATCACCATGTCATCCTATCTCTCTCTCCGTTAGCCATGAAGAACTTAACGTTCCAGATCACGCCGGACTCCAACAAAGACAGTGAGAGCATACAGATGGGTCGAGACCTCAAACTTTCCTGCCACGTTGACGCCCAGCCTCAGGACAAGGTGAACTACACCTGGTACAAGAACGGAGCTCTCATCTACCCCACTGACAGCCTCATCGTGCTGCGCAGCGACCCAGACATGCCGCCCGGTACCAGCAGCCTGGAAATTGTGGACATGAAGTTCAGAGATCAGGCCACCTACAGCTGCGTAGCGAACTTCCCCGGGAGCAGCGTTCCTGAACTGCGAGTGGACGTGAACATCACGCAGAGCAGCGGTGAGACACTGATTGTAATACTAAAGACATGCAGGGTTTGAGGCCCTCACTTGTGCTCATACTGTGAAGTGGCCCTTTGATCCGACTCGTTCTGCTCATTGCTGATGATGTTGTTTGCTTGTTAAGTAAAAGTACAAAGTACTCTTCTCAAAAACTACTCAGAGTACTAGTTACTAGTTACTTTTTAGCTGGCGATATTTAATGAATTACCAAAAAAACATTAATTCACATCAAAGATCTATGTGGATAAGCTACTTAGAACAAAACCCACTTTTATTTTATTGACAAAGTATGTGAATTAGTGGTCATGATACAGGAATTTCTTACTTCAATACCTTGATAAATATCAATAGTAAAGTACCCATGAATCGGAAGTTGCAACTGACTTCAGTGTTATGATGTATTTCCAAGTGAAAGGTTGTGGCTAGAAGGGACACAGCTCCGACAATAATTACAATACCTCTTACAATAATGCAAAAAACATTAATTATTATTGTACAGTGTGACAAAAATTACACTGTATTGATGTGCGCATGCCTAGTAGTGCCATATGTATCCCTTCTAGCCTTAACCCAAGTGAAACAGAATATTGAATAAAGGGTGAGGCTTTATTGTGGTGCACCTCCACTCCACCTCTTGCTCATAGCAGATTCACAGTTGGATAGTGGTTAAGAATATCTGCTACATTGTTACGTCTGACATCACGCTTCAATGCCTCTGGGTCCTAACTCTCAGCCAGACGCCCCAAGAAAACACCAAACTGTGCTAATATATACCCAGGATGGCATGTAATACTGAAAAAATTATAACCCCTTTATCTCCATACTGAAATCCCAGATGGCCAGAAAGTGATTCAGCAAAAAAAATTGTGTCTGAGACACTGTGAGCACGGAGACTGTAGTGCGCACAACAATTTTTTTAATGCTTAGCTTAAATATGTAATATTAATTAAATAGTGCTCGTAAATGGCTGCTGAAGTAGTATTCTCAAATGAAATGAGTAGAGGCTTGGACCCGGAAACAGCAGTCCTTACGTCATGACTTAACAAGAGGATTCTCCCGAAGCCGTCAAACTGACGTAATCAGAGCCAGAATGACATTCCAGAGCGGAAGCAAAATATTCAGTTTTGAATTAAAGATTATTATTTTTTTTTTTTTCCAGTGTATTGACTTCCACGGTTTAATTGTTCTCCACAAGACTAGTAATGTGCACTAAAGGGTCATTTTTGATTTAATGATGAATCATTTTCAATACCATTGCCAAAACTTCCACATACTGTATACTGCCATATAGATATTTTAATATATTTATTTATTTATTTTGTTCATCCATTTTTTGTTTTCGAGGCAATCATTATTTCAAGCTTTGAGTGGTTTAATCCAAGTCTTCTAAAAAGACACTTTTGCTTTATATGATGAACATATTTTAATATAGGCTTTTATTTACATACATATAAATATTGATCAATTACCATTACAAAAATCTCAATCTTAAACATTTGCTCATTCTGTGTATTTGTGTCTTTAAAATAGGGTAACTTTGTTGCAAAAGCTTACAGCAAAAGGAAGCATGATTTCAAATTTGATTTCAAACTGAATTTAATTTACAAAAAAGGACAAGTACACAATCAGTAATAAAATTATTAAACAAATGACCTCAATTCAGTTGAGATACTCGAAATATGACAATACTGACTTTTCATAGGCAGTGTTTTAAGAGCCATATATGTTGTTTATTTAGATAAATGGAACATCAGATAGCTTTGACCTGTAATGTCTGTACAATGTAGTGATGCAGTTAGGCAGACTAGGATATTTATATGTACAAATCATACAAATATCCCATTCCAAAACATTTCTTGCATACTTACATTGTAAAAAAAGGAAAGTTCAATCTTTGATTGTTGAAAGACTTTCTGGTGCATTTCACTAACAGCCAATAACATTTCCAGTAACATTTTCATCGGTCAGGCGTGGATCTATTCTGACAAAGTTAAATCCAGGAGCAAAGAGAAATAGTTTAAAAGCACGGAGAGATCACGATTGCACACAGTCTGAGTGCGCACAAGCAATATCGGAGTGAGAAGGCAGTTCATTTGTATAAGTTAGGCCTATTTGAGAGCTCGCATCCAGTTTTCTGCGATTACATGACTGTGTTCTCATGTTACAATAAAGCACTCGCCACATTTGCACAGGAATGATTACAATTATGCGGAATACCTGCAATCTCGTGCGGACATTCAGACTCTGTAATTGACAGGAGGCGTATGCGTGTCAAACTCACTGTCGGAGAGGAGAGAGAGACGCAGCTTGTGTCTGTGTATATTCGGTAGATATGTGTATATACGTGGCTTTTATTGGTCCGTTTACGTTCGGATATCTTTATTGGCTACTGAAGTGCCATCAAAGGTTTGAATATTAATTCAAATTGTGGGCGTACTCAGTAACGAACTATGATTTAAAAGTAATGAAGTAGATTATTTTGCTTAATTTGTACTTGAGGACAAGTAAAAGTACAGCTTTAAAAATATACTCAGAAAAGTACAAGTACCCGAAAAAACTACTTAAATATATAGTTCAGTCATGAAACTCTAGATGGCACATTCTGACTGGGTGTTAACGTAACTGATGATATTCAGAGAGTTAAACGACTTGGCACAAACTGATTGGTTCATGCTGCATATGCAGCCAATGAGCTTACTGCCTTGCATTTATATGGCTGGCTAGCATTCACTTGAGATTCCTGCAGCGCACTTTCAGAGTTCTCTGAAACCCTCCACCTTCCCCAGCTCCACCTGTATAGATCTGCTACGGGTTATTTTATATGCTATTTGTGCAGCAGCAGTATGTCTTAAATACTCACAGCACCGTATCGCCATATGCATCGGAAGTAGCAAGTTCCTGTACTTGCTTGCAGCAGCAGCAATAATCTACAACTACAGCAATAACCAACAGCAGCAGCAATTCAGCAGCAGCGTAGCAGATCTGTTCCGCCAAGACCAAATGCATTAACATTGTCATATCCATCACCATGCTAAAATGTTCAGAGAGTTGTCATGATTAAATTACAGTAAGGTGAGTAGTTGTAATTCGTTACATCCACCACTGCTGTAGTATGAAGCAGGGTGTGGCTAAAAGTCGTGGAAGGGAAACGAGGCCACTGGAGTGATTGCTAATGAAGGACAAGCGCGATATACGGCTCGATAGCAGCAGAGCTTTTATTATGCCACAGTCGACCGCTTCTGCTTCTTCCGGTCATGCGTATGTAGGGTAAAATAGCGCTGTTTTATACTAGATACTGTACATTTGAGTGTATCGAAAGTTCCGTTATAATGCTACTCTGTGCGTTCGTCACCTGTCTTGGGGTTTCCATGTTTTCAACAAAATAAAACCGGAAATCGAGGGGTTGTGACGTCATTCGCAGGCGACGCAATGACACTATGGACACGGTCTGTTACACTAGTTAAAATTGCTTATTTCTCTGGATTTTAACATTCTTCAAAACATTTGGGATAATGTAAGTACACAAGTCAGCAAAATATATTACACTGTTCTAATGGTTTTGGGATATTTTAATCAAACAATCTTACATAAGTAGTTTTTCAGCTATCTGAGATGTTAAATTTATGCCTCATGGGTAAACAGAGATAATGTGGGAATGGCCATTCTGCTGGGTTGATGGTCGTAAAATGTTGAATTCTGGGAAATACAGATGCCCTCATGCATTTGAGTCCCCTCAGATCTGCTCTCTCTCATCTCAGCAGGATGCTATTTTTTCCTGAGTTTCTCCTCTTTTTTTGTACTTGAAGTTTCAACCTTCTCTGGGGTTACTCTCTGTTTCTGACTGCAGTACCTAACATGATCAATCGTATCATCTGACAGTCTCTTTATCTCTTGCTTTATGATCTTTCTGTCCTACTGTTTGAAGTCTGTCCATCCTATATGGTCATTATTTTGACAGTTTTTTTCCAATATGTGTTTTGGTGTTGGGCCAGTAGATTTAACAATATAGTGTCTTAAAAAGCAGTTGATTATCTCTTCTTATATATTATTTTATATTGCATCACAATTGTCTCTTTTATGCATTGCCAACTGGCTAACAGAACTGCAGCATTAGCATCGCAACACTGATTGAGTAGTAGATTTTTTTCTTTTCTTTTTTGATTGTTTTGTACAATTGTTTATAAGAAAAATAATTTTAATTTAGTTAATTCATTAATTGAATAAAGTACTACTCTCGTTGCATTTTTTTCTATGAATATGAGTGGTATCTCATAAAACTACAAATCTTCAGCTTTGGATGTTATTTCTTCCATTTTCTTCCATTTTTTCTTGTACATATTAGCTATAATTTAATATAATTTAGATTTTTTTTAACATCCAAAAACAATACATCTCCTCTTACGACTATGTTTTCCTCTTTTCCAGTCGTTCCTCCTGTTCTGAGTGTGCCAGTCGGAGGGGGTGTGGTCAATGTCAGTGAGGGCGGGACCGCAGAGCTCGTGTGTTTGGTCGATGGTAAGCCCCGCCCACCCGTTCTGTGGTCCCGTGCAAACAAGGACCTGCCCATGCCGTCGGGGGATTGGGTGGTGGAAACACGCGATGGACGTTTGCGGCTGACCAATGTGACGCGGGACGTGATGGGAGCGTACCGCTGCCAGACCGCTCCTTACAACGGCCTAAACATCAAACGCCGACAGGCTCAGGTGCAGCTCAATGTAGAGTGTAAGTGTTTCAGTCATCAAACAGAGTTTTGAATTGGGGAACTACTTTGAAATGATAGTTCACCAAACTGCTAAAGCTAGAAGCTAGCAACATTAAAGTGATTTACAAGTAAGCAATGAGTAAATAGCATTTCCCCCCATGATCTGCATAAATTATCACATTCTCAGTCTCCAGCTTCTTATTTATGGGTATAACTTGCGCAATTATTCCAGATGTCTTAACTTTTTATCAAAAAATAATTTTATTTTATGTACACTACCATTAAAATGTTGGGGTCTGTAAGATTTTTAAAATGTTGTTAAAATTTATTTTATTTATCGGTCTCTTTCATTTAGGATTTTTTTTTAAATAAATATTTTTTCTTTTTTTATTTATTAGAGGCTGCATTTATTTGATCAAAAATACAGTAAAAACAGTAATATTTTGAAATAGTATTATTTTATAGAAAAAATATTCTGTTGTAAAATATTTCAATATGTCATTTGAATAAATTAATGTTATGGCAAAGCTGAATTTTCCGCATTATTACTTTGTTCAGAAATCATGCTGATTTGCTGCTCAATAATCATTTATTATTATTTTTGTCAAAAAAAAAAATAAATTACTATTTTTGTGGAAATTTACATATTTTTTCTGGATCTTTTGATGAATACAAAGTTTAAAAGAAAAGCATTTATATGAAATAGAAATCTCTTTATAAATTGTATAAATGTCTTTGCAGTCACTTTTTTATCAATTTAATATATCCTTACATTATAAAAGTAGTAATTTATTTCAAAAGTTTGACCCCAAAGTTTTGAATGGTTTGTATCATCACTATTGAGGTGGATAACATATCCTGTATCATACTCAAAAGCATGTCTTATAGCAGAAGTAAAATGGCTTGTGAACAACAATGCAAGGTTACTAAGTTGGCTTATTGTTTTGGTCACTCCCTGTATTGCACAGGACATATAGTGGATTTAACCGTAAATGCTTAAAGGGATAGTTAACCTTTAGTTGGTCCCCATTGACTTGCATAGTGTTTTTGTTGTTGTTGTTTTTTTCCACTATTGAAGTAAGTGGGGACCAGCAACTGAAGGTGAACTATCCCTTTAAAGGATTTAGAGTTAAAAGGTTATCCAAAGTGTTTATAGGAAGTCCCTCTCTAGCCTTTCTATAATATTACAGAAGGATTTTATTTGTCAGTCGACTAGGCCATTGGACACATCGCATATTATTTGTCAATTGACACACTTTGGACACATCCCAGAGCGTCTCAGATAACAGCACTCCTCTGCCTGCCTGAGAAAGGACAGTGGTAATGAAGTCTATCATGAAATTGTTTCGATCGATGGCATGATTAGATTTGATTTGGTGCTGCACATTTTAATGTGATTTTAAACTTGATCATAATGCGATCCACTGACTGAGGATAGATTGAGTCTCTGAACGCACGACCAAACGAGCCAAAGTGACAGACATTTTCCATTAAGACCCAATGGGCCATTATGCATAAATTATCACATTCTCAGTCTCCAGCTTCTTATTTATGGGTATAACTTGCGCAATTATTCCAGATGTCTTAACTTTTTATCAAAAAATAATTTTATTTTATGTACACTACCATTAAAATGTTGGGGTCTGTAAGATTTTTAAAATGTTGTTAAAATTTATTTTATTTATCGGTCTCTTTCATTTAGGATTTTTTTTTAAATAAATATTTTTTCTTTTTTTATTTATTAGAGGCTGCATTTATTTGATCAAAAATACAGTAAAAACAGTAATATTTTGAAATAGTATTATTTTATAGAAAAAATATTCTGTTGTAAAATATTTCAATATGTCATTTGAATAAATTAATGTTATGGCAAAGCTGAATTTTCCGCGTTATTACTTTGTTCAGAAATCATGCTGATTTGCTGCTCAATAATCATTTATTATTATTTTTGTCAAAAAAAAAAAAATTACTATTTTTGTGGAAATTTACATATTTTTCTGGATCTTTTGATGAATAAAAAGTTTAAAAGAAAAGCAATTATATGAAATAGAAATCTCTTTATAAATTGTATAAATGTCTTTGCAGTCACTTTTTATCAATTTAATATATCCTTACATTATAAAAGTAGTAATTTCTTTCAAAAGTTTGACCCCAAAGTTTTGAATGGTTTGTATCATCACTATTGAGGTGGATAACATATCCTGTATCATACTCAAAAGCATGTCTGATAGCAGAAGTAAAATGGCTTGTGAACAACAATGCAAGGTTACTAAGTTGGCTTATTGTTTTGGTCACTCCCTGTATTGCACAGGACATATAGTGGTTTTAACCGTAAATGCTTAAAGGGATAGTTAACCTTTAGTTGGTCCCCATTGACTTGCATAATCCCTGAGGTAAGGAGGATTTCTTTAGGAGCGTTGCAACAAATGTCTTAAAGGGTCCTATTATGCTCTTTTACAAAGTCTTGATTTTGTTTTGGGGGTGTACTAGAACAGGCTCTCATACTAGGTTGTTCGAAAAACATTATTTTTCACATATTTTACATTATTACAACACCTCTCTCCTAAATAAAATATCTCCTTTTGAAGTGGTTTTTGAGCTTTGTAACTTTACAGATCTTTTTTTATACTCAAACCGCAACATTACAGTGAAAAAGCATAATAGGACCCCTTTAACTGTCACCCTTACCTAAATGTTTATACTAAGCATTTCAGGGTATTTTCTGGCAACATACGGCAATGGGCACCGCGGTTACTATAGTTACTAAATCTCACAATAAACAGATATGTATACATAAAAAACATAACATAATGAAATACAAACCTAACCAACTAAAACACAGACAAACATTAAATAAACATGAGCGCTTCCGTTTCTGCTGCTTTGTGTACAGTCGTTACCGAGGGTACCGCTTTGTTTCTGCAGTGAAAGCGCCTCCTGCTGACCAATGACGGAAAATTTACCAAATGTGACCCTGGACCACAAAACCAGTCTTAAGTCACTTGGCAGGGACACGGGAAGTAGGGGTGCTGAGGGGGCTGCAGCACCCCCTGTTTTCACATGGTTGCAAATGCAACGCCAAGTTTGTTCAGTTAAATTTATTCAGTTTTAGCATTTAATAATTTATTTGTAATGATCTCTGAAATGTAAATTGTAAGTGGGCTATATTTATCTTTATAAACGTGATTAATTTTACTTGTGATGTTTTCTATATGGGATGATTAGCCTAATCCTCATGAACACGTGACGCTAGCGCGTGGTATCAGACATGAACTGTACAGAATGCGAACTAGATTAACTTTAATTCAAGGAGATAATGGCGCACAAGCGAATTTCAGATTTTTTTAAATGCCCATCCCAGCAAAAACTTTCCAAAATCGGCAGCCCCAGCACGAGTACAGACGTTCCTCTCCTTGATAGCAGAGGAGCGGATCCAGCGAGAGCTTGATAGGGCGATGCAGAATGAAACTTTTTTTTTTTAGGTGTCGTGGTAGTAGAGGTGGCGCAACTATAACGACATGTGAATAATCCCGTCCACCCTAAAGCGGTACTGAACTGCAGTGGAAATGCAAACCGTGCCGAGCCGAACCATGCTGGGCCGTACTGAGCCGTACCGAGCCGAGTCGTACCACGCAGTGGAAAAGCGCCATAAGTGAACCAGCCCCATTGTTGTCCTATCCTAACAAGCCATACATCAATGGAAAGCTTATTTATTCAGCTTTCAGATGATGTATTTTAAAAAAATTGACCCTTATGACTGGTTTTGTGGTCCAGGGGGCGTATTACAGAAAGATCCTAACTTTAAAATCTTATCTTATCTGTTTGGTAACCATGGTAGGACCACATTTAGGACAAAAGCGATTACAGAACAGCGTTTCCTAAGTGTGTTATCTTTTCTTAACTACAGATAGGAAGGGGGTATTACAGAAACCTCCTAACTTGACAAAAAAATCCTAAAAACTGTCTTAACTTCAAAATTATTTGAACGCTAACGGAAAAACCGCTTACAATTGCGCTGTCCAACAATGGTATTACATTTAAGTGACGTGACATGTGGCCAAGTATGGTTACCCATACTAGGAATTAGTGCTCTGCATTTAACCCATCCTAAGTGAACACACACACCGTGAACACACACCCGGAGCAGTGGGCAGCCATTTATGCTGCGGCGCCCGGGGAGCAGTTGGGGGTTCGGTGCCTTGCTCAAGGGCACCTCAGTCGTGGTATTGAAGGTGGAAGAGAGCGCTGTACATTCACTCCCCCCACCTACAATCCCTGCCAGTACGAGACTTGAACCCACAACCTTTGGGTTACGAGTCCGACTCTCTAACCATTAGGCCACGACTTTCATTTATTAATAAATGAAAATGAAGAACGGAGATGTTTAATGGTAGAAAGACTCTTGGAGGACCCTGGAGATGTGTTACATTTTGATAACAAAACACTTATAAGTAATTACAGACTGACGTGCAACATGATATTACAGTTAGCACAGGAACTGCAACTAGCATTACAGAGACCAACAAAGCGTCACGGTGCATTACCGGTTATAGTGCAAGTGACTAATGCCTTACACCGTGTCTACACTGGACGCGAGTGGTGCGGCGCGACAAAATACCATAGAACTCATTATAATCAGTGATGCTGTCTACATTGGCTGCGGCGTGACGTCATGACAAGTCCCCGACAGTAAACTGCTGCCGCGTTCTATTTATGACGTGCTGATGGTGCGGCGCGACAAAATACCATAGAACTCATTATAATCAGTGATGCTGTCTACATTGGCTGCGGCGTGACGTCATGACAAGTCCCCGACAGTAAACTGCTGCCGCGTTCTATTTATGACGTGCTGACACAAATTTCAAAAGATTTTCAACGGTCGCTTTGTCGCATCCAGTGTAGACAGACTTTAGCTGTTGCGGTGCAGCGCGACAAAACAACTGTCGCGTCCTGTGTAGACAAGGTGTTACGGTTTTTTGCAAAAAGCGATTTTCAAAGTGAAGTAGCTTCTATTATTTTG